GCCACCTCTTCAATCCCTCGACAATGTCGGAGAATCAGAGCTGCGTGAGGATGACAAGAGCGGCGGCGAAGAGAAAAGCTTCGATGGCTATGTCCACCGACGAAGGACGAGTCAGCAAGAAGAGAGTTGTGCTTGGTGAGCTTCTCAATGTTCCCAATCTCAATCAGAAAAGAGTGACCCAGAAACCCAAAACGTCTCTTTGGTCCCCAATCAAGCAGATTATGACAGAAGATCCGGTTGTCGTATCGCCGGAGGTTACGGCGGAGACGGCGATGGTTGCCCTAAAACCAGCCTCTGACATCGATGCTCGTTCTGATGATCCTCAGATGTGTGGACCTTATGTCACCGACGTCTACGAGTACCTCCGTGAAATGGAGGTAATAATCTCGAGCTTCTCTGTGTCTGGACTTGAAACATTGACTAGTTTCCAATTATAAGGTCGATTTAAAGTTTTGGTTTTGATGATCTGAAACGTTTCTAAGATTTTGCCCAAATTATAGTTATGGTTTGGATAAGTTAGGGATTGATGATTGGATTGGTGAAAATTCAGGTGAAACCGAAACAAAGACCATTACCGGATTATATCGAAAAGGTTCAGAAAGATGTAACACCAAGTATGAGAGGTGTTTTGGTAGATTGGTTAGTTGAGGTTGCTGAGGAGTATAAGCTCGTCTCCGAGACTCTCTATCTTACAATCTCGCATATCGATAGATTCTTGTCCGTAAAGACTGTCAACAAGCAAAAGCTTCAACTTGTGGGAGTTTCTGCAATGCTTATTGCTTCGTAAGCAATCTTTTGATCTTCTTTGTAATTTATTCTCATTGTCTTTGTTTGATGCTTATGGAAAGATTCTTTCTGTTTTGGCATTGAAATGAGTAGGAAGTATGAAGAGATCAGTCCTCCTAAAGTGGAAGATTTTTGTTACATTACGGATAATACATTTACGAAACAAGATGTGGTGAAGATGGAGGCAGAGATACTTCTTGCGCTTCAGTTTGAATTAGGAAGGCCTACTATCAATACTTTTATGAGGTTAGATTTTGATGAAACAAATGTATTTGCTGATAATTAAGTCAATGAAACATTGTTCTCATGTTGTGTGGTTTTGCCTTTTTTATGTCGGGTTTGTGCAGACGGTTCTCAAGGGTTGCTCAAGAAGATTTCAAAGTGAGCCTTAAACCAACTCGTCTTCTGATATCTCTTAATATGGATTGAAATCTGATGTTTGTACATTGTGAAATATCGATTGTTAAATCCTCTTTCTTCATGTCATTGTTTCAGGTGCCACATTTGCAGCTAGAGTCTCTCTGTTGCTATTTATCCGAACTGAGTTTGCTAGACTACAAAGCTGTCAAGTTTGTGCCATCTATGTTGGCTGCTTCTACTGTCTTTCTTGCTCGATTCATCATCCATCCCAAACAACATCCTTGGGTAAGCATTTTTTTGTTCACTTTCTCTTACAAGTAATGTTGAGTCAGTCATTTAACGAGACGCTAATAAACTATTGTTGCAAACAGAATCAAACTTTAGAAGAATACACGAAATACAAAGCGGCTGATTTGCAAGTATGCGTGGGAATTATACATGACTTGTATCTGAGCAGAAGAGGAGGTGCTCTACAAGCTGTTAGAGACAAATACAAGCACCATAAGGTAATTAACACATTACAAATGACTAAAACATTCATTAATGAAATCATTCTAAATATTAGCATTCTTGATACTTAAATGTTGTTGCTTTTATTGGTATACAGTTCAAGTGTGTAGCAACCATGCCTGTATCACCAGAGCTACCGGTAACCTTTTGGGAGGATGTTACCATATGAAGGACACAGATCAACAGTTGGAAGCTGTAGGTGTAAGACTTCTTGAAGTGAAGGAAGTAGCAGATAAGTGATGTATCTGTTTGTTATGTGAAGATGTGTGATGTTGTCAATCTAATATCGTCTTGTATACTAAATTAGTAATGTTACTCTCCGAATAATGCAATTGTTATACTAAAAGCGGTATTCAAGAACATGAAGATTTATATTGTCGTTACAACTATGAGTGTAAAAGAGAGGTTAAAAGCCAAAAAAAGGAAATATATTGTCACTGTCGAACTCTCTTTTCTATAGATCGAAATGTTGAAGATTGCTTGTTAAATAGAGCTTCGAAAGAAGGTTTTATAGATCGAACGGTTGAAATGATCATGGAGAATGGTAAAAATCACCCTGAAGAACTCAAGGAGCATTTGGTTTGTTATCTAAGACTATACCAATGAATATTATGACATGATCATCAAAGTTTTGAAAATTAACATGTTTAGTTGATTATTAGTCCTTCACCAACTAAGAAGTACATCCATAACCTCATCCCATTTTCCATTAGAGGTATACAAGTTTGGCATCTGAACATAACCTCAACTCTCATGTGGATTCAATTCCTGTAACCGATACCGATTTGACTAAACGTTTTACAGGCACCAAGAAGAGATTCTAGACGTAGAACCAAAGCCTCATCTCCTGGAATCTCATTCACAAGTTCTTCTGGTTCCGACCAAGCAAATACACCAAACAACCATAGTGTAAGTTTACAATTAAGATGCATATAAAGAAAATATAGACTCAGAAATTCTTTGGAATTGAATAGTTGTAGTATAGCGTTGAGCTGCAAATGCCTGATCAATACGG